CAGTGCCCAGGTCCTGAGTTCAAGCCCTATGACTGGGGAAAAAAAAAGTCTCACAGACTTTCCTGCCCAGGCTGGCTTCCCACTGCAATCCTCAGATCTCAGCCTCCTGAATAGCTAAGATTACAGGTGTGAACCACCAGTGCCCAGCTGATCCTGTTTTTTTTTTTTTTAATTTGGGGTGGGGGTGGGGCTGAGAAATCCAAATAGGGGAACAGTTGCTAAAGCTCCTAGGCCTCACCTTTGGGGTCTTGTGGGGCAGGGGCTGGGGCAGGACCCTTGGGGGCTCCAGGTCCGCACCAGTAGCTCCTCTGGAAGGGAAAATTCCACGGTTCGGGGATCCCGTACTGCCCTGCAGAAGGAGACGCCTGTCATTCCCCATGGGGTGTGCCAACGACTGGCCACACACCTGGCATCAAGGCGGCCAGGACACTGCCCATCAAGTCAGACACCTGTGCACTGTGCCAGGAACTCCCCAGGCCCCCTATCCCTGTCTCCATTGGAAGATGCAGTCCCTGTGTGTAGGTGCAGGAACCCCATCTTGTAGCCCCGCCCCTTCTGGGGGATAACCTAGATTCCAGCTTCCAGCTTCCAGGAAGGTACCAGCCTCTCCTACCCCCTTCCCCCCCGCCCCCCCGCTACAGCACACCTGGGCACACAGCCTCCAGATACCAGAGGACAAGGCCATAGAGCACAGCATCCAGCAGCAGGAGGCCCGAGACCTGTGCCAGGCTGAAGACGTCACCCGCGGGCCCAATGCCCAGGTTGTACCACTGTGCACCCTCGCCCTGCTCCTCCAGCAGTGCCAGGCTCTCGCACCCGAAGCCGAAGGCCACAGGGGACAGCAAACTCTGCGGGAGGGCACGAATGGGGTCAGGAATGGATCGAGCACGGCCCAGGGCACCCTGCCCCCTCCACCCCCAAAGGCACTCACTGCGGCCACGCGGCCCGCGGTGGGCAGCTGCTCCCGCCAAGCCACGCACAGCACATAGGGTAGATAAAGTGAGAAGTAGATGAGGCCCCCACAGGCGGCTGCCAAGTTGGCATGGGAGAAGAAGGCGCTCAGCAAGAAGCTCTGGACCACCGTGGCTACCGAGAAGGTGGCCAAGAACAGGAAGATCACCACTGGGTGGCTGTAGGGGAGAATGTCTCCCAGCTGGGAAGGCAAAGGGAGCTCAGACTTCCAGGACAGGGCCTTGGGACACACGGACACACACACACACACACACACACACACACACACACGCACACACACTGCATGCATCCTCCAGCCCAGGAAAGCTGAGCCACGCCCATCTTGATTATCAGCAAAGGCTATGTTGCACCCACCTTGAGTACCATCACAAGTAGTGCAGCACTGAGCAGGAAAGGCCCAAGGCAACTGAGGAACCAGCCCAGCCAGAGAACTGCACGGCTGAGTCCCATGGCACGCATCGTGTCGCGAAGTCGTGTTTCCTTCTCACGTACCACGGCCTTCACCGTCAGCGCCACAGAGTAGATCCAAGACAATGTCAGGAAGAGAGGCAGCGACCGGCTTAAGACACGCAAGAACCTGGGGTGCGGGGCACAGGTATAGTCAAGGACCCTGCACAGCCCCCTACCCACATATCTGACATGACCCATTAATCCTGGAATTCCAACCAGCTGTGTCCCCTATGCCTTAGAACTCAGAACCTAGGGGCTGGGAAGGTGGCTCAGTGATAGAGTGCTTGCCTAGCATGCATAAGGTCCTAGGTTCAATTCCTCAGCACTACACTGCATAAGCAGAAAAAGCTGGAAGTGGTGCTGTGGCTCAAGTGGTAGAGCACTAGCCTCGAGCTGAAGAGCTGAGGGACAGCGCCCAGGCCCAGAGTTCAGGCCCCATGACCGACAAAAAAAAAACAACAAAAAAAAACAGAACTCAGATCCAAAGCTAGGAGCTGGTGATTCACACCTGTAATCCCAACTACTTAGAAAACTGAGATCTGAGGGTCACAGTTCAAAGCCAGACTGCAGACAAAGCTGAAAGGTAGTTACTTTAAATTAACCACCAAAAAAAAAGCCAGAAGTGGGACTGTGGCTCAAGTGACAGAGCACCACCAGCTTTAAACAAAAAAGCTGAGAAACAGTACCCAGGCCCTGAGTTCAGGCCCCATGATGGACAAAAAAAAAAAAACAAACACAATAAACAACAACCAGAACTCAGCTAGGAGCTGGGGAATCACACCTGTAATCCCAACTACTTAGAAAGCTGATATCTGAGGGTCTCCATTCAAAGCCAGACTGCAGACAAAACTGAGAAATAGTTACTTTGAATTAATCACCAAAAAAAGCCACAAGTGGAACTGTGGCTCAAGTGACAGAGCACCAGCCTTAAACAAAAAAGCAGAGAAACAGTACCCAGGCCCTGAGTTCAAGCCCCAGTACCTGTGCATGCATGCATACACACACACACACACACACACACACACACACACCTCCTCAGATCCAATCTAGCAGTCTCAGCTCTTAGCACAGGCGGTGTTCTTCCTGCACCTGGACATCCTAGACCCAGACTCTCTGGGATCCCAGAACCTCACTTCTACAGGTCACATGGAGTGTTTCCTCCAAACCAGTGGGAAGCTGGTGAATGCTTGAATGTTCTAAACCAAACTCAGGCCCCACTCCAACCCTGGGCCTGGCGGCTAAGAGAGCGGGGAGGGGCCCAGCTCACACGTCATCAACATAGCAGGGATAGGGCATCTGCTGCAAGTAGAGGCCCACCCGGGGCCGGGTGCCACTTAGCACCCGAACAGCTGCACGCTCCAGCAGATCCTGCAGGTACACGAAGCCGCCCCACACGTAGCGAAGGTCCATCAGAGGATCTGCAGATGGGCCAGGGTCCCAAAACCTTCAAGGGGGGGAAAGGGGTCAGTGGTAGGAGGCCCTGCCCATAACAGCCTTGGCTCTGCCCCTCTGACTCTGCTGTGACTCAGTGGGGTAGAATTTTGCGTCTGGCCAGTCTACCCTTAAGCCCTACTAATACCCATTCCCACCTTCTCCACTAGACCTTTGGCTCTGCCCCATCATCCTAGGTCACGCCCTTTACGGATCCCAATTGGTCCATGGTGCCCTTGGCTCCACCTACTAGCCCTGTGTCAGTACTGTCCCGCATACTGGGTGTTGCCAATAGGCTAAACTACCTATCTATGATGATCTTCAATAGGCTGTGTCCTTGGCCCCGCCCACCACGCTCTTGGCACCGCCCACCACGCCTGTGGTCCCACCCTCACTTGTCCATGATCTTATTGGTCCTGGTGACATCATCGATGTCCATGCGAATCTTGACCCGCACGTGGCCAGGGCCCAAGCCTGGAGCTGGCATCTCTGTGGAATTCTGGGAGTCTTCGGGTCCCAGAAAGACGATGCCCGCCCAGAGACGACGCTCAGCAAGCAGCTGCAGGGCCCGTGACACCAGGGCTGCCTCCGAAGGTGCGGCCTCTAGTTTGTCCAGGGATACACACTGGGAAGGCATTGAATCCCAAGGGCTGAAGTGTGCCTGGCCCTCGGACCTGCTAGCCAGCCCTCCTGGACCTAAGGCTAGCTGATGTCCCCTCCCAGTTCATGGCTGCTTGGTTCCTTTTTCACTCCACCAAACAACAGGCTGGCCCCCTCCTCAGGCATCTATGAAACCCAAGGGTTCCCACACTCCTTGTTTCCCGGTATGGCCCCAGGGCAAGACTTATCTTCAAAGTCTGCCATCATCAGGTTGTGTGGCATGTCCCCTTCCTGACAGAGATCCTCAGCTGGCCAGCAACCTCACCTCCATCACTCGGCCCAGGGAGCCCACCAGGCGTCCTACGTCAGCATGGGCATCCCGCCAGCTGTAGCCTCCTCTGCTGGGGTCTAGGAAGGATCTGATCGCCTCAGTTCTGTCTAAGCCACCAGATCCTGGCCTTCTCTGCCCTTTATTCTGCAGTTCCAGGAGCCTCTGGGGAATGCGTGTGAGGGGGGGGGGTGTCAGATGAGGAGAGGTCTGTGCGAAGCCTCCTTCTTGCCCTAGGACAACCCCCCCCTCCAACCCACCTGTAGCATGGCCATATTGTCACTGTTGTTCATGAAGTCAAAGACCTGCGGACCCAGTGCCCCCCAGACCTCCTTGACATCTCTCAGCAGAGCCAGCTCCTCAAAGGTCCGATTCATCTGTAGGGAAGGGAGGGAAGTCAGGAGATTAATCTAGGAGTCCTCTGAGGACCCCTGTATCTCCCTAGCACCTTCTCCTTGCCCCATCTCTGAGTCTCTTTGACATCTGCCACAGTCTGAGGGCCTAGCCCTTCCCCACCTATATTGAGGGTATTGGATGAGTTCTGCAGTTCCCCTCCTGCCCCCCCGTACCAGGCCACCCTCACCTGGGCCATGAGCTGCCGGGTAAAATTTGTGTCAGGTGCAAATAGAATTTTCCCGTGGATCAGTGGCTTCAGGCGTCTCCAGAGCAGGTGAGAGAGTGGGTGGTCATCCAGGGCCCCCATCAGCTTAGAGCAGTCAGGGCCTAGCGTGGAGGTATCATGAGGCTCTACCCCACACCCTTCACCCACTTTCCAAATGGGGAAATTGAGGTCAGTTACTCACTCAGGCCATCAACCATCAGGGGTGATGCAGGCTCCGGCCCTACCAATTCCTTGATTTGGCTGGCTTCATACCAGTTGAGGGAGAGACCACCTGGGCTGCTGGGCCCCTTGGCACTGCAGAAGGCTTCTGATACCAGCTGCAGAGGGCTCCTGGTCCCCTGGGGTCTCCGCAGTAAAGCCCGGAGCTCTACCAAGCTGGGCAGGGCCAGGAGCTAAAAAAAGGTCACTGGCAACCTTTCCTCCATACCATCCCACTTCCCAGCCTTAAACCAGGGCAAGGAACCAGCTAGGAGCACCTCTCCCGGTCACCATCCCAACTGGGCAGTCTACCCTTATTGCTTCCTGGCTGGAAATGTGGTGGGGATGAGGGTGGGGAGGTGAGAGGGGGGGGGTCTCACCTCCTGGGTTAGGTTCTCAGCAGCTTCGACAAAGCCACTCACGGTTTCCTGGGTTTGGCCCAGGGCCGCCAACAAAGATTCCTGTGGGAAGATGAAAAGAGCAACAAGTAGCCAGACAGGCACAGGTGGCCTGTAATCCTAGCTGCTCAGCAGGCTGAGATCAGAGGACCAAAGTTTGCAACCAGCCTAGGCAGAAAAGTCTTTTGAGACTCTTATCTCCAATTAACCACCAAAAAGCTGGAAGTAAAGCAGTGGCTCAAGTGGTAGAGTGTTAGCTCTCAGTGAAAAAGTTAAGAGACAAGCCAGGCGCTGGTGGCTCACACCTGTAATCCTTGCTACTCAGGAGGCTGAGATCTAAGGGTCACAGTTCAAAGCCAGCAGGAAAGTCCATGAGACTCTTATCTCCAATAAACCACTAGAAAACCGGGAGTGGTGCTGTGGCTCAAGCGTAGAGCACTAGCCTTGAGCTGAAGAGCACAGAGACAGCACCCAAGCCCAGAGTTCAAGCCCCATAACTGACCAAAAAAAAAAAAAAAAAAGTTAAGGGACAGCACCCCGGCACCGAATTCAAGCCCCAACACTGGAATTAAAAAAAAAAAAAGGCAAACAATGAGCTTGATGCCAAGGTGACCAAGTGTCCAGACAAACATTCCCATTTTACAAACAAGGAAACTGAGGCTTTGAGAGGTGCAAAGACTTACTCAATTTCTTGACCACCATGCAAGACATTCCCTGTCTGAGTACAAACAGGGCCAAGGGCATGAGTCCACATGCCAGGAACAGCTCTGGAGACTGAAATCAGACCCTAAGATGAAGAGATTCTGGGTCTTCCTGCAAGATTACTCCCCTCCCCCAGCCTTGTCTCACCCCTTGTGACAGCATCCCCAGAAACTCCGTGGCCAGGGAGGGTTGTTCCTGAAGTGGGTCACTGTGTTGGGGCCAGGCTGGAGGAAGAAGGCACAGAAACACAAGGCCACGTGAACCTTGGGTGACAACCCCTGCCTGTACCCATTTCACAGTCAGGCAAGTTGAGGCTCAAGAGTTTCCCAGCTCCCTCACTTTTATTGCCAGCACTCTTCAGCAATGGCATCAGCTTCCCCAGAGCAGTCAGTGTCCTGTGGGCATTGGGGCTCCCCAGCACGGTGTGGGCATCAGCTAAAAGCCGAGAGATTCTGAATACAAGAGAGAGGGCACGATGTAGGGACTCTGGGGCGTGACCTCTCATAAGCCCAGATCCCACTGGCCTGGCTACCCCAACTGCTGTGACTCACAAGGAGTCCTTGAAGTTGCTAAGGAGTCCAGGCTTCTCTCCAGGGGTCAGCCTGGAGAAGCAGGAGTTGTTCACATTGCAAATAAGACCTTGGAGCCACGGCAGGGTGCCCGCTGATGGCAGAGGCTTGTTGGGGAAGTGGCCTGTGGAAAGATACCAGGTTGACAATCGGTTCCCAATGACTGCACACCTCTAGTGCCGAAGTGAGTGCCAGAGTCAGGCACCGGCTGTCGCTCATGTGCCTGATCCCTGGGGGAGGGGGGGGCTTACATTCATGGTGCTCCAGTGGAGGGTGGGAATGGCGGACGGCCACCAAGATGAAGAAGAGGAAGAGAGGCCAGAGTAATTCCACCAGGAGTTGGATCTGGGGAGAACACAGCAGGAGATCTCAGTGGTCGTGGGGCACCCCTGCACCCTAACCTGAACACCCTGGCATTACCGGTTGTCTCCTGCGATACATGAAATTCTTCCAAAGCAGCAACATTAGTTGTGTCCAGAAGGCCATGGTGACCCTGGACGGTGAACAGGATAGAAGGTTCAGGACAAGGGTCGGGCTGAAGTCGTGCTGCGTGACTTTCGAACAACTGCCTGCTACTTACTGCACATCATCCCCATCCCCGCCCCACCCCGCAGGGCTCTGGGAAGCTCCTGAAGCATTTGAGATGGGAAAATTCTTCAGATGGGGTAAGCCAATGGGAAACCCGCCCGCAGCCGTCCTCGAAGCTGATTGGTTGACAGGGCTGTCGCTCTCTGCAGGGCCTCCTTAGGCTGAGCTCTAGAAGCCGGTCCTCTAGTACTTAGGGGGCGGAGCCTCGGCTTAGTGCTCCACCCAAGCCCACCCAGAGCCTCCCGCCCCACAGTCTCTGGTCTGATGCGGGAAGGATTCTCTTCGCCCGACTGTCCCACAATGACAAGAACAAAGAATATGTACTGTGCTGAACGTGTCTTACGCCAGGCCAGCAGAACCACAGTGCCGCTTCGTGTTACACAAGTGGAAACTGAAGCTCAAGAAGGGATAAACCGCCCGGCGCCCGTGGCTCACGCCTGTCATCCTAGCTACTCAGGAGGCCGAGATCTGAGGATCGCGGTTCAAAGCCAGCCCGGGCAGGAAAGTCCATGAGACTCTTATCTCCATCTAACCACCAGAAAACCAGAAGTGGCGCTGTGGCTCAAGCGGTAGAGCGCTCACCTTGAGCTGAAGGCTGAGGGACCACGCCCAGGCCCAGAGTTCAAGCCCCACGACCGACAAAAAAAAAGAAGGGGTAAACCACTTGAGTCAGGCCTGTAATCTTAGCTATTTAGGCTCCAGGCTCGAAGTGGAGCAGGAGAGTCTGTGAGATTTCTTATCTCCACCTAACCACCAAAATGGAACTGGGGCTCAAGTGATACAGCCCCAACTTTTGGGGGGTGGGGCAGGGAGGAAGAAAACGAATGGACAGCACCTAGGCCCTGAGTTCAAGCCCCAGCACTGACATAAAGACCAAAAGACAAAAAACAGAAAGGGACAAGGAACCAAAGGAGGAGGCAAAGCCCCAGCTGGAACCAGCAATTCCTGACTCAGTTTCTTGGGACTCCCTAACTCCAGCTTAATTTAGTGTACAAGTGGGGAAATTGAGGCTCCTAGAGGAGCAGAAAGTTGCCAAAGATCAACGAACCTGGCCTAAAGGCCAGAAATCTTTTAGGACCGGGGGAAACGCCCGCATTCGTGCGACTCAGGGCTGTGCTAGCCGAGAGGCTCTGCGGGCGTATGCTGGCCAAGGCCCTTGTAAGTGACCAGAGCTTCATCCCCCTCCCCTCCTAGAATAACTGCTTCAGTCAACCGACCCCCTAATACTCACAGGAAGGACTAGAAGAACCAATGAGAGTCAGCACCCCTAGTTCCTAGGGAATCTGCCGCCTAACATCCCCCAAACTCCCATTCCCGCGGTTCTCGAGTCTTGAGGCTTCTTCCTTCTCTGGTCCATCTCACCGTTCCAGACCCCCCCACCCCCCACCCCGGGGCTCTGGCCACCTTCCTGTCCCACGGCAGCCAGGCACGCGGCCCCTTTAAGAAGAGCCCCAGCCGGGAACGACGCCTCTGCGGCTGACCCCTCTTCTCCACCCGGTCCCGGCAGCCGCGCCCAGCTCCGCTCCGCCCCCGACCGCGACTATTGGCCGCTATAACCGTCACTCACAAACCGGCGCCTTTGGCACCTCGCGACCGATAAGGAGGCGGGACTACAGCCCAGCGCGGTGAGCCGGGTTTCTTAAAGAGATAGCAGGCCTTCTGCTGCATCACCTTGAGGTGGCAGCTTGCCCAGTTGTCCCTAGGGAGACCATCCTCAGGACACGCCCGGCGGATTGCACTGCGGGGAGGAGGGCTAGCGGTCTCCCCACGCTGACCAGCCGCCTGCAATACTGCAAGGTCCTGTTGTGGGAGACCCTTCTGTCCCGTGTTCCCTGGGGACGGGGTTCCAGCCTGCCTGCGACTCCAGCTGCAAAATGGACACTAGAACGAAGTCATCAGTATTGCACTCTCCTCTGCCCTTCATTTGTGGGGTCCTGCAGTGGCCCAGGTGATGGCAGAAGAGCAGTTACTTCAATTTTTCTTTTGTCAGTCCTGGGGCTTGAACTCAGGGCCTGGGTGCTTTCCTTGAGCTCCTTTTGCTTAAGGCTGGCGCTCTACCTCCCGAACCACTGGGCCACTTCTGGCCTTTTTTGAATAGTTTATGGGAGATAAGGGTCTCAAGGACTTCTCTGCCTGGGCTGCCTTTGAACCACGATCTTTAAATTTTAGGATTATGAGCATGAGCCACTGGCACCTGGCTTATTTGTTGTTGCTGCTGGTTGTGGGGCTTGAACTCAGTGCCTGAGCGCTGTCCCTGAGCTTTTTTGCTCAAGGATAGTGCTCTACCACTTTGAGCCATAACTCCACTTCTGGTTTTCTGCTGGTTACTTGGAGATAATATCAGACTTTACTGCTCAGGATGGCTTTGAACCAGGATCCTCAGAGCTCAACCTCCTGAGTAGCGAGGCTGATTCTTTTTTTTGGGGGGGAGGAGCAGTCATGGGGCTTGAATTCTGGGCCTGGGCGCTGCCCCTCAGCTCTTCAGCTCAGTGAGAGCTCTACCACTTGAGCCACAGTGCTACTTCTAGTTTTCTGGTGGTTAATTGGAGAGGAGTCTCATGGACTTTCCTACCTGGGCTGGCTATGAACTGCGATTCTCAGATCTCAGCCTCCTGAGTAACTAGGATTGCAGGCATGAGCCACCAGCACCCAGCTAACTAAGTTGATATTTTAATTTTTGGTACATGTACAGGGGCTTGATCTCAGGACCTGGACATTGTCCCTGAACCTTTTCAGCGGGATAGTACTCTACCACATCTTCACTTCCAGGGTTTTTGACGGTTAATAAAGTTTCCCAGGTTTTCATGTCTGGGCTGGCTTTGAACTACAATCCTCACTTCTCAACCTCTTGAGTAGCTAGGATTACAGGTGTGAGCCATCATGCCTGGCAGTCACCTTGATTTTGAGGGGAAACCTTTCCTGCTCTGGAAAATTGATGTATTTCACAAGCTCATGATAGGGATGACGGGAAGGTGGATCAATCCAAAGCTCCAAAGGCTCTGGGAAGGGAAAAAGCTGGGAAGGGCACTGCTCTGTGGAGGTAAGGGGTGGGCTTTTGGCATGGGAGCTCTGAGAATGTATAGTTGGACTGGGAGGGCTCTCCAGGCTTGAAGAATAGCCTGGAGGCAGCGCTGTAGGAATGGGCAGAACTGGCACCCACAGATCCCAGTGAAGCTCAGCCTCTGCTTCTACTCAAGTCTTGGCTTTTCAAGTCATTGGTTCCACTCGTGACCTCAGGGCCTTGGGCTTTACTTCCCTCGCCCAAGGTTGCTGAGAAGGTCTCCCTGGCCCCCAGCCACCACCACCAGGGTGGTCTAGGACTCCTGCTGTCTCAGACACAACTTTTATTTAAAAAATGGAGGTTTTATTGCTTTTGGTCCACACTATTTCACATTATCTGAAAAGTCCAAGGGCCCCTGGGCTGGGGTGGGGTTGGGGGGGAGCAGATTGAGCAGGAAGGGCAGAGTGGAGCTGGTTAGACTCAGAACAGGAAGATCTGAGGGGCCCAAGGAGGCACTTGTGAGAGGCTCTGCATGCTTTGAAACATTCAGAACTCGAGGCTGTTGGGAATGGTCAGGGATGTCCATAGGAGATTCCTAGGGGAACCCAGTCCTTAAGAGGCCTACGATATTTCAGACTTCCTCCCAACTTCCAGGGGGGTCAACTATCCAGCATCCCTCTCTATTAACCTTATGAAAGAAAGGAAAAGGAAGGAAGGAGAGTGAGAGAGACAGAGAGAGAGAGAGAGAGAGAGAGAGAGGGAGGAAGGAAGGAGAAAGAAACTGGGCACTTGTGGCTCACGCCTATAATCCTAGCTACTCAGGAGGCTCAGATCTGAGGATGGTCGCTCAAAGCCAGCCAGCCAGGAAATCCTAGGAAACTCTTTCATCTCCAATTAACCATAAAATAGCCAAAAGTAGAGCTGTGACTCAAGTGGTAGACTGCTAGCCTTAAGCAGAAAACGTTCAGAGACAGAACCCAGTCTTTGAGTTAAAACCTCAATATTGGCAGAAAAACTAAAAACCAACACACATGCGCGCGCGCACACATACACATACACACACACACACACACACACACACACGCACACGCACACGCACACACACAGTTTCCTTTCTTTAAGACTACCTTGAAACTTCTGCCCAATAGAAACCACAAGTTGATCAAGAGAAGTTGATCAAGAGAGGAAGAAACAGGAAGTCATTTGAGGGCTGGTCCCTAACTGGCTCTCACTGTCTTAGAGCCTTCTGGGAAATTTGCTGCCAGGTAACATGCCCCACCCATGGACCCCTCATGTCTACCCAGGGCTCAGTCCTGCAAAGGAAGTCCTGTCAGAATGGGTCAAAGCAGCCCCAATCACCCACAGACCCTCCACGGGTGCTACTAAATGTTTAAAAAAGAATGAGAAAAGGGAAAGCTAAACCCATAAAAACCCCAAGCCCCAGACAGGGTACTGCAATGGGGAGTTGGCATTCTGGGGTGCTTCAGTAGCCGGCCTCCTCCTGGTAGTAGGGCACATATTCGGAGGCCTCCCTGGGGTAGTCATTGGCACCAGGTGGAGCGCCATCTGCCGCAGAGCCTTGTGGGCAATACTTGGGATCATATATCTGGCGGCCCAGACCAAAGACCTGGCCACTCTGATTGGCACCCTGTGTGTAACCCATCTGCAGGGACATGGAGGAGTTGTCACACTTGTCTGTCCCCAGCTTGGTGTCATAGATGTGTCGCCGGGTCCCCGGAGCCGTCATGCCCACCTGGAGGAAAGGAAAGATATCAGATGGGGAAAAAAAGGTTCCTAGTTCCCATGCCAATCCCAACCCACACTGCTTGGCACCCAAAGGGTAATTCCAAGCTGGACTCCCTTCTGTAATTATGAAAAGTGGATCTTTTTTTTTTTTCTTTTTGGTTGGTAGTGGGGCTTGAACTTAGGGCCTGGGTGCTGTTCCTGAGCTCTTCTGATGAAGGTTAGCATGCTATCACTTAAAAGCCACAGCTCAACCTCTGATTTTTTGAGTGATTAATTGGAAATAAGAGCCTCTTATCTCCAATACATTGCTCAGAAAACCGGAAGTGACGCTGTGGCTCAAGTGGTAGAGTGCTTGCCTTGAGTTGAAGGGCTGAGGGACAGTGCCCAGGCTCAGAGTTCAAGCCCCACTAGCGACCAAAAAAAAAAAAGACTTTCTTGCCTGGGCTGGCTTTAAACTACAATCCTCAGATCTCAGCCTCCTGAGTAGCTAGGTACAGGTGTGAGCCACTGGCACCTGGCTGAGTAGATCTTTGTTACAGACAGCTCCTCTGTCTGATTCTATCATGATCACTTAAAACCAGGAATGTTAGTCCAGGAAAGCCCATGAAACTCTTCTCTCCAATTAACCAGAAAAAAAGCCAGAAATACAGCTCTGGCTCAAGTGGTAGATTGCCAGACTTGGGGGAGGAGGGTGGGGGGAATAAGGGATAGTGCCCAAGCCCTGAATTCAAGCCCCAGTACTAACAAAAAAACAAAAAACCAAAGAACAACAAGAACAAACAAACAAAAATAATCAGCAATGTTCTACTTTTCCCTTGGCAGCCAGGAGGCTCCTCTGGCTAGGGCCAAAGCTACCTAGGGATCTGAGGGTTTGAAAATCATCAATGGGATATATAGCTTCAACTTGGCAAAAAGCATGGGAACAGGAAACGATCAGAACTGAGTGGAAACTAAGTCCCACTGGAGAGTTAGCACTATGCCGAACAGTAGAAACAGCAGTGGCAGCAGGGCACTGGGGAGGGGAGGGTCGGGGGCCCACCTGACTGGCACACTTGTTTGTGCCCATCTGAAGGCTGATGGTGGAGTGGTCCATGGGGGGCAGGATGTGGTTCTTGGGGTCGTAGAGATGCCGCCTGGTGCCATAGGCTGTCATACCGGACTGGCTGGCACATTTGTTGGTACCCATCTGTGGGAAGGCAGGCGTAAGAGATCAAGCTGCTCCCCTTCCAGGCTCCCACAGATTCTCCCCAGAAGCTGGAGGGGGGGCCCACAGGGCTGAGCAAGACACGAATCACATTAAGAACCCTGGGATCCAAGTACAGGGCTTGGCACCCACCTGCAGCCCAATGACACACTGGCCGGCCTTCATGGTGGCATCATCGAAGTTCCGCTGCTGCTTCTCTGAGTACTTGACTCCGATGTCCACGCCACTCTGCAACCCTTTTGTCTTAGCCTGGGACAGGACAGGGGAGCAAGAGGGGCTGAGAGAGCCAGGTAGAGCAACTAGGGCCCTTTATCCTTCCCAGACTGCACAACCCAGAAATTTTTCTTTCTTTTTGTTGGTCCTGGGGCTTGAACTCTGGGTCTGGGCACTGCCCCTGAGCTCTTCAGCTCAAGACAAGCACTCTACCACATGAACCACAGCGCCACGGGTCCTAGAGCTTGAACTCAGGGCCTACTCACTGTCCCTGAGCTTTTGTGCTTAAGACTAGTGCTCTACCCTTGGAGCCACAGCTTCATATCTGGCTTTGTTCAAGCCCTAGGACTGACACAAAATGAAGAGCCTCAACCCAGGAAGCCGAGATCTGAGGAGCCATGTTCAAAGCCAATGAGGACAGGAAGAGTCTCTTCTCTCAAATTAACCAGAAAAAAAACCTGGAAGTGGAGCTGTAGCTTAAGTAAAAAATGAAAAAAGCCAGAGGAAAAAGTGCCCAGGCTCTGAGCTCAAGCCTTAGTACTGGCACAAAGAGAGAGAGAAAAGAGGGGGAGGGAGAGAGAGATTATACCACATCAACATTTCCCTCGCTGTGAGACTCCAGGCTGGCTGCCTTCCCTCTCTGGGCCTTACCTTCCCTGCCAGTGCGAGAAGTGACACCTGGACCTGTGTCATGTTCCCACTCTCGAACAAGTCGTTAGCCTCAAACAGGTCCACAGGGTTCATGCCGTAGTTGACCATGGCCTTGATGAAGTTGGAGAGGTTTTCTAGCTGGGAGAAGGCAGGGAAAGGGCGGAGAGGGGATCTCAGTTACCGGACTGCCCAGCTGGGTCCCCAGTCCTGTCCTCCACCCGCCAGCCCCTCACCTGGTGCCAATTCTGCATGGAGCGGTTGATCTTGGAGACCGAGCCCGGCTGCAGCTTGTTCATGAGTCTGGGGTAGAGGGTGGGGGTGGAGCAAGATAGAAAGCTCCATTAGTGTCCATAGAACCCAGGGACCAGGGTTCCCAGCTCGGCCAAGTTCATACCTGCCCAGGGAAACCTACTGCTTTGCCTAACTTCTGTATACCAATATTTTTTTTGGGGGGGGTCCAGTCGTGGGGCCTGAACTCTGGGCCTGGGCGCTGTCCCTCGGCTCTTCAGCTCAAGGCTAGTGCTCTACCACTTGAGCCCCAGCGCCACTTCTGGCTTTTTTCTTTTTGCTTATGTGGTGCTGAGGAATCAAACCCAGGGCCTCATGCATGCAAGGCAAGCGCTCTACCACTGAGC